GCATGTTCTTGCCTCTAGTGTATAACTTCTTATGTGAAGGCTGTCTTGTGCATCTTCATCATATAACGCTTACATGCTTACATTTTGTATATACCATATAAATAGAAAATATATATACAAGGACCTCCTCTACAGTTTTTGGTAAAAAAAAAGAATGTGGCCCCCTTTATGTAATGAACACATTTAATAGGTAGATAATCTAAACAAGGCTGATAATTCAAACATACAAGATTAAAAATGGGGGGAAAGTATTGCAATGGCGAGAAGTAAAAAGAGGTTTTAGTACTTGGCTGCCCTTATCATTATGATAGTTACTAAGGTATTTTCGCAGGTTATTTCCATGAAATCATGTTACCATTAACGCTTTCTGGCAAGCTGACTTCTTATGTTATGAATATGTTCTAAAGAGAGTTTGCAATGGTCATGGGGCAGTGCATCAACTAATTGTTACTTCACAGATATCAGATAGTGCTGCAGTGCTCCAAAAGTTGACCAACCATTCTTCATGGTAATGTAGCCAAGGTTAAGGGCAGCAGGCAAGTCATTATCACGCAGCTATTTACAGAACATGTAATTCAGCGACAAAATAACGTTCTTCATATTTAATTTGATGAGCATGTCTTACTTTTTTTCCCCACCTTATGGAGTAACTAACAGAACAGTAAACAACTAATGGCAAAATATTACCTGATTGAGCATCCATTTCAACCCCACAGCAGCCGTGCACTCATTTTTAGCGGCACTGCTGACCCAGTCGAGATTGTACAATTTATCGAGTGTTTGTGTGATGGCCGTGACATTGCTACGCCTGTCTTTGACAGAGAAAATCTCTCCATTTGAGCTAATATTCTCGTGGCTATTCAACAAGGTTTCAAACCATCCACTTCCCGACCTCTGCATCGACAAGATAGCAAAGAATCTAACTGGTGTGCATGCACATTCTTTCCTATAACAAACAAAGAAACAAACAGAAGAGCAAGTTACTCACCAGCCTTATAAAACGTAAAATCAGATGCCCAAGTGTATCTATCTACCTCCATACCTACTATAAGTATTGGGTGTGGGGAAGTGCACGTAAGGGATCTCGGTCTCCGGAACTCCCGGGTGGTGGCAAGGCTGCTCCCTTTCTTTCTCTATCATGTTGGTCTGCCTGAGCCCGAACAGCATCCCGTTTTGCTTGAGAGATAAGGAGAATATGTATACGCCCACAAGGGTGGCCAGGGCCAGTATGGCAACCCATGACGCGAGCGGGTACCTCCTTGTAGGCTTTGTGCTCACGCTGGTTGTATCCTGCATTTGGAAGAGTTAATGGCAGGAAACGAAGGGTAAAAGTCAAATAAAATTGATCCATGGCAGTCGCAGATGAAAAAAATAGGTGTACATGAGCTGATTCCAGTCTGGGCATATGCTGACAACAATCTACAAAAACAGATACTGTGACAGAAAAGAGGGCGGAGGGGGGGAGAATTGGATTGGCCTGACCTTGGCGGCGCCGAAATCCTCCACGGGCAGCGCCACGGAGCTATCGTGCTCTCTCCCTACCCCCTCCATCGAAGAATAATAGCAGCATCAATCAAACATGACAACAACGCCGCCGGCTCCAAAACAAGCGGAGAATCCCACCCAATCTTGGCGGAGTTTCCACAGCACAACGGAAACCGGGGAGAGGAATCGGGCTTGGCTGGAGGGGGGAAGGGGCCGGAGGAAGGTGGGAGGAGAGGCGGCGCGGCGGTCGGCGGGTTATGAGGAGGGGGCGGCGGGGTGTTCGCATCTGGGGGAGAGAAAGGAGGAGGGGTTAGGCACCGCGCAGGTGGAAGGGAGAAGGGAAGGGAAGGGGACGAGGGGGGAGCCGAGGGCGAGCGCCTAGTGCGTGTCCATTCTGGGGTTGTGTTCTGGTCCGGGTTTGCTTTGTCTAATCTCGCGCCCCAACGCGAGGTTCGTTTGGGTCGGCCGTTGCCGCTCCCTCGGGCAAGGGAAGGGAAGGGAATCGGATGCATGGCCGGTGAGAAGCGAACCGAGGAGAGGGGAAAAGTGGCCAACACGACTCCGCTCGTATCCGTGCCCCGAGAGGATCGAACGTCTCCCCTTTTTCCTGCCGCGGGAGTTTTTCCTTGGGAAATAAGCTGCGAATACGAGCAGCCCGTCTCGCCCCGACGACTCGCGCGTCACCGGGGTCCGGCCGGTCCGTACACCCCGTTCCCCAACGCGGCGTCTCCGATTTGGCGCTCGCGTCCCCGTCGGAAGGCGGCGCGCAGAGTCGTTGACTGTGTGCCGCACGCCCCACCCTATTTTTCTCCCCCGCCTTTTTTCTCTCTCCCGCTACGTACATACCGTCCGCCCGCCGACGTCTCGCCGACACAGCCAGTGGCAAGGAGCAAGAAAAAAGAATAGTCCACGGTGGCAGATGGGGGCAGCAAAACATCACGTAGGAGAAAACGATGGTAATACTATATAATAACAATATAAAGACACCAAAGCGCATTTCAATCTTTTGTTGACGTCCATTTCAATCTATAATTAATATCAGGACTTTTCCTTTTGATATTAGGGGGAGGGGGGTGATCTTTACCCCTACTTAACCGGTATACTTTTTTGGACACGTCTAGGGAGCGGCCGTTGGCTCCCTGGCGGTCCCGAGCGGCAATGCTAGATACGGTAAGTTTATGTCCCCTCCCAGTCCCAACAAGGAAAAAAAGGAAAAAGGCAATTCTCCACAGCACAAAAAAATATATGGTCCCTAGCGTCCCATTCCAGCCCTGAACCCACGTGATTCTGCCCCCCTCCATTTCTCTTCCACCTTCCTGGTTTCACCAATCAAGCAGTGCACACCAACCCATCTACTGCTGCCTCGCCCACCATCTTCTTCCCCACAAAAGAAGCAACCAGAAACACGCCATGGGAGCCTTCCCTATGTCAGGAGCCGTCAGGGAAGATCTGCCAAGGTGAAGAATAAGAAGATCTGACCTATGTAGTTTTTTAGGAGGAAAAAGAGAAGGAAAGAAGTGGGACATACCAGGCTGCTGTAGATCTTCAACTTGAAAAAAAGGAGGAATCAAGGTGGCATGTTCCTCTTCTTCTTCACCTTGAATTCAACTTCTCCAATCCTTCTTCATATTGACTGCAACTACAGAACTGCTCCAAAAAAAAGTTCACCTAAACTTGTGCAAAAACAAACATAAAACCCCAGGAACACACAAATATGGAATTGCATATTGTGGAACTTTTGATTTGGTTGCGACCAACTATTTCGATCGGGTAATCCAACCAACTTTGTTTCAAACTGTGCAACTCACACACAGACAAATGAAATAAATGAACATCATGTTGTACCGAAAATGTAACATATATAGGTCATATGTTCTGGTTTATTGCATATAGTCTACTAGTCATATCTATAATGCAGTAATGTTTTAGTTCATCCAGCTCCTGGTTGGCAGACAAAAACAAAACAAAAAGAAGATGTGTTACTGCTTGTAAGATTGTTGATGCATGAAAAAAAACTTCATGAGAAGACATGGGACCCCATGTTGTATGTCATCTTGGCCAAATTTGGAAGAATCCCCTGTGTGAAACTATGGAAAAACAGAAAAAACACTATGTGGCATCAAGTCTGACAACATATTGAAACTAGATAGGTTTGTGGTGTGCAACTTATGGCTTCTTTCTATGCAACTTAAAAAAGAATTGTGCAACTGACAAAAGTAATTTGGATGTTTTGACTTGAATAAAAGTACTTTCGGATTTGTGTCTATTGTGTGCAGCTGGAATAGACCTTGTGTGAAAAGCTTGAAAATAGAAAAAATGCAATATAACAGCAAAAAACAGTGCCCATCATGTGTGTTATTTGTGCAACTTGTAGGTGCATCTGTGCAACTGATTAGACCCATGTGTGCAACTGAGAGAATTTCTTCGATGTTTAGTTTGATAAAAAAAGTGCCGCCAAAATTTGATTTGTTTGTTTCAAACTCATGTTGATCTGTTTGTTTGTTCCCTCTTCCACTACCTTTGAGATTGAGAAAAAAGGTGCATCTGTGCAACTACCATGGGTTGCTGTGCCAGACTGATATTCCTAGTTGTGCAACTACCAGAACAAACAAGTGCAAGTAAAAAAATGGGAGCTGCATTAAAAAACAAAAGATAGGGAGCAAAAAAGGTCTACTCGCTTGTACCTTGTCAAACACACCATGCGCCTTCAACTCCCATCTTAGTGACTGTGGTGATTAGATTGTTATCCCATGCCATTGGTTGGACGGGGCAAATTACTTACACGCACATCTAATTAAAATAATTAAGACAGGAAACTTGTTAGGTCATTGCAATTAAAATAGTGAATTTTTAAAGATGACAACTAGTATCAAGTTCATGTGCAACATTGCAACTATGCCTTATATGGATGCCAACCACTATAAGGTTCATGTGCAACTACAAACTGTAGGGGTGCCAACTTGAATTAGTTCCGTGTATGAAAAGAAACTTGCATTATATATGAAGCCAACTATTATGAGGTTCGTGTGCAACTACAACTGCTAGAGATGCCAACAAGAAATGTGACTATGTAGAAACAAGATAATTAAACTGCCTACTAAGTATCACCGTATTGTGCAACTTTCTCATGCTCATATCCAACTAGGGATACTAAAATGGCCAACTAGTACTACAAAAATGACCAAATTGGATAAACTGCAGGAACTAAAATTGGATGTCATGCGTCTCTCTAACAGATAGCCTGCTATTTGAAGCACTAGTTATGCAAACCTACTATTGATATAAAATCATGTACAGAAATATCAGAAAAGAAATTGAAATATTAGCAATGGCTTGTGTGAATTACCCACAAACAACCTGTGGGTATGCAACTTCTACATAATTTAACTACAATCACTAGAGGAAATTAGTTACAGCCACGAAAAACGAGAACAAAGTCATGTAGCATACAAAAAAATGCAAAAAATCATCATCGGCAGCAGGCGTATCATATAGTTGGCAAAAATGTCATTATTTATTCGGTTAACAACGAGAGCAAACCAACCGAGCATTCATGTAGTATACAACTACAAAAATAGAATGTGCAATTTGACAGCAATGCAAGCGAACTGAGCATACATGTATGTGCAGAAAATACACCCCAGACTGAACATGCTTTGGGCAGTGTACTCGACTACCTAGAGGCTCTTGTGCAACTAAATTACCTGACTGGCCAACTATGTACTGCTCTGCGTGCAACTTCGCCAGACCTGTCTAAAAAAACTAAAATTGGACACCTAAAGCAAAACGACTAGCCCATATGCAACACACAAAATTCCCTGGCAACCAACAATTCGCCGGAGTCCCATACAAATGCAGAAACAAAACATCGCCCACAACCTGTGAACCACTCCCACCGAAAGCTCGAGCAACCGTCTGCCGCCGTGTGTGGTTCCTCACAGTCGTCGCCACGCACGGCAGCAACTTTGTATACTCCCACCGCTCCCTCTGCATCCTATTGCAGCGCGCGACAACAACTCTGCATCCTTATGCCTCAACTAGACTACATTACAGGCCAACTAAGCATATGTGTGTGCAACTAGTCCTGCCAACTAAACATCAATTTGTGTGCAACTAGACTACATTGTAGACCAACTGAGCATATATGTGTGCAACTAGACCTTCCAACTAAACATCAATGGGTGTGCAACTAGACTACATTACAGACCAACTGAGCATTGGTGTGTGCAACTAGTCCTGCCAAATAAACATCAATGTGTGTGCAACTAGACTACATCGCAAACCAACTGAGCATATATGTGTGTAACTAGTCCTGCCAACTAAACATCAATGTGTGCGCAACTAAACTACATTGCAGGCCAAATGAGCATATGTGTGTGCAAAAACACCCCGAAGTGCCTGGACATGCTTTTATGCATTGCACTTAACTTCCCTGCCGTTCCTGTGCAACTACATAATCTAACTAGCCAACTGCGTAATGCTCTCTGTGCAGCTAGCCAGATCTATCGAGGAAACACATACGGGGGGAGGGTGCACCACCACCTAGCATCTTGTCCTGTAGACCCGACGCAACACACATTGGGACCGAAGCAAGGAATCCATCCCTATGCCCCACCTATCTGCCACATCCACGGCGACTGGAACCTCGCCGGAAACCGCAGCTGCAGACGCGAAGCTTCAAAACGTGAAACCACAAAACCCAACCACCGCCGCTGAATCATCTTCTTCTCATCCATCTTTGATTTCCCTTGATACAGCAAATCAATTCTTTTTTAGAGAAAAAAGAAGTCTGAACTTTCAAATAGAGTATGACATATGCTTCTAAACTCTTCTTTGAGACAACATTTAGGATAATTGATGCGGGATACTACTATGTCCTAATTCAACAATTCCTGAACAAACTGGTAATGATAATTGTCTTTCTATTATTGCCTGCAAAAATTGCCGCAGTGATTCAAACACAATGCCCCTAATTGTCTCTCAATCCTTTCTACAATTCCCATGATGGCTTAACTGTTGTGTGCAGAACTGCCCAACAAATTTGATGGGGAAAAATTGCTCTTGTG